CAATGATGGTCACTGATAGGTGGCACTGATGGGCACCTATAGGCGGCACTGATGTGCTGCACTGACTGCCAGCACTGACTGCTAGCACTGCCTGATGGGCAGCACTGATGGGCACTGATGGACGGCACTGCTGGGCAGTGATCAGCACAACTGCTTGGCCCCGATGATCAGTGCTGATCTACTCTGTGACAGCTGCCGGATATTGGCAGTACTTTCCTCACGCTGTGACAGTGTGATGAAAGTGCTGCTGATAACTGGCAACTGTATTTATTCCATGATCTGCTGTGCCATTGCACACAGCTGATCACGTGGTAAAAGGCTGCTGTGATTGGCCTTTTACCTCATCACGTGATCAGCTGTGTCCGTAAGACACAGAGATCACAGAGAGCGCTGGGGGCGCGCTGGAGGGTGCGTTATGGGAGGACGTCATATGACGTCTTCCCAGAACTGGACAACTGCGCTGCAGCCGTCATTTGGCTATAGCGCGGTTAGCAAGTGGTTGCCAAATTTTTTTGCCAATGTCATAGTTCACATCAGTGCTTGCAGTTTCAGTGCGTTCCGTTTGCAGAAAAAAAAGTAGAACAGGCTGCATTTGTTCTGCACAGAACTGTACTGGAACGCGGTAAAACTCATCAAAACATACCAGAATGCACCAAAAATACATATGTCCCTATTTAAATTGAAGAAAAAGAGAGGGGAAAAAATGAACTGGAACGTGTCAAAAACGCACTGGAACGTGTCAAAAACGCGTATACGGAAAAGCATCCGGAACGCATCTGGACTGAGTTTCTATATAGCGTGAAGCGGCCCTAAAAGTAAGTTTGTTTTCACAGGAAGTCATGAAGAAGATGCAGTGAGAAGTATACCTTATGGCCCCCCTCCAAGCTATGGATGGAAGGAAAAGGATCACCCCACCGGCAAGTGAGAAGAAGGAAGCATGAGTCTGAGCGATTCCAGTGTCAGCCAATACAAGTGAAGGGATGGATACTGCTCAACTGACCTCAGTAGACCAAGCCCCTGGTGGGGTGAAACGCATCAGAGGGTGTGGCTAAAATGGCGACTGAGGCCATTCCTCAACCTTGGACTCCTAGGGTTGGTTGAGCAGTGTCCATCCCTTCACAAGAAGATGTGGTGGACACACATCTCCCTCATTTTCTATCAAGAGTTGAGCTTTGTAAATGAGTCATTCATGCTGGCCATAATTTTATCATTTTACATATTTTCTTTATTCTATTCAGTACTATAATATGAATACAAATTTGTAATCAAGTAAACATGGAATAATGTATATGAATAATTCACATATACCGTGTGCAGGGAGCGAGGACATAGGCAGCTGGATTGACTACAAAGCCTCCCCTTCTCCATAACATGAGTTCTGTAGTCCAGCAAGGGAGAAATCAGGCATGGCTGACAACAGTACCTGGGGTTTCAGTGCAGCAGAGGCAGAGTTGTCCACGCACTGAAGCACGTAGACATGTGCTGTTCGTTTTGTTACGAATTGAAATTCGGACAAATTTTCCATTAGGTTTGAATGTATCCGAATTACAATAGTAACGAGTTTAAATGAATCTGAAATAATGCAACAAAAATTCTAATCGATTCGAATTCCAAAACAAATTGAAATTCGGAAACAAATTTGAAAACCAATTCGAATTTGAAAACAGGAATAGAATAAAATAGAACAGAAAATAAAGAAATAGAATAAAAAAAAAGAATAGAGGAAAAAAAGAACAGAAAATAAAAGAATAGAACAGAATACAGTAGTAAATAATAGAGTAAAACAGAACAAAATAGCAAATGAATAGAAAAGAATAGAATCCATTAGAAAATAATAGAAAAGATTAGAATAGAAAATCACAGAATAGGAAAAAATACAAAAGATTAGAATAGAAAATCACAGAATAGAATAGAAAAGAATATAGTAAAACAGAGCAAAATAGAACAGAAAATAAAGGAATAGAATAGAATAAAAAAGAATAGAATAAAAAAGATTAGATTAGAAAACCAAAACAGAAAAGAATAGAATCAATTATAATAGAATAGAAGAGATTAGAATAGAAAATCAAAGAATAGAATATAAAAGAATAGAATCAATTAGAGTAGAATAGAAAAAAACTGTAATAGAAAATCAAAGAATAAAATAGAAAATAATAGAGTAAAACAGAGAAAAATCAAAGAATAGAAAAGAATATAATCAATTAGAATAGAATAGAAGAGGTTAGAATAGAAAATCAAAGAATAGAATATAAAAGAATAGAATCAAATAGAGTAGAATAGAAAAAATTAGCATAGAAAATCAAAGAATAGAATAGAAAATAGAGTAAATAGAGTAAAAAAAATAGAGTAATAGAGTAAAACAGAGCAACATAGAACAGAAAATAAAGGAATAGAATAGAATCAATTGGAATAGAATAGAATTGAATAGAAAAGAGTAGACTAGAATAGAAAATCAAATTATAGAAAAGAATAGAAAAGATTATAATAGAGAATCAAAGAATAGAATAGTATAATATAGAAAAAACAATAGAATATAATAAAATAGAAAGAATATACCTGCCTTTTGAAATTCAAAGTTTGAATAGAATGAATTTGAATTCGAACAGAATACATTAGAATAGAATATAAAATAATAGAAAGTATAGAATAGATTAGAAAAGACTAAAATACTTTACAAAAAAGTAGCGATCAACAAAGGCACTGTGAAAATGTTTGCTGAAATAGAAATTTCCAGTATGGTCACACAACTCTTCATATAGCTCATATACCATCAAAAACACATATGGATTGTTAGAATTATTTTCAAATCCATTCAAAATATTTTTGAATCCGCTAAAAAATGTTTCTAATCAGTTCGAAATTTTGAATTCGGTCCAATTCGAATAAAGGAAGTGAATTCCGAAAAATTAATTAGACGAATTTAACTAATCGAACGGAACAAAATTAGTCAAATAACTAATCGAAACAAAACACATTTTTTCATTTTGCATGTGTCAAGCAGCAACTTATACACATACTAGATTTCTGGCAGGATCTACAGGTTTTTCATTGTACTTGCAGCATAAGGAAGACCCCTCCCCCCCAGATATACACATTAAGCTATTGAGCTCAGTAAATTTATTTTGGCTGCACACTACAGTAAGCACACTCAGTTTCTGGCAGGCTCGACATTTTTTTTTTCTGTACTTGTAGTGCTTTTAACTCCTTCATGTCCGGACACTTTCACCCCCTTCCTGCCAGGCCAATTTTCAGTTTTCAGTGCTATCACACTTTGAATGACAATTGCACCGTCATGCAACACTGTACCCATATGAATTTTTTAGCATTTTTTTTAGACAGATTTTATTTTGGTGGGATTTTAATTTTTTTGCTATATAAATGAAAAAGTCCAAACATTTTGAAAAAAAAAGTGTTTTTCTTATAAAATTTTGCAAATAAATAATCTTTCTTCGTAAATATCGGCCAAAATGTATTCATCTATCTTTTAGTAAAAATAAAATAACCCAAATTAGTTTATAACCAAAATATATAATTTTTCAAAATTTTTTTTACATTTTTATTTTATTTTTTTAATATTATTTTGTATGTTTTTATTTTTTTTTTTTTAACATACTGTCACCCTAGCAGTACAGTGTCACTATAGTGACAGCGTACTACTTGTGGGGGGTGATGAAGATTTTTTTTTTTTTTTTTTTTACACTGCTTGCTTTTACACCCATAAAGGCTGTAAAATCAATCATTTTTCCTTTTGTCTGGCTGAATTCCATTGAGAAATACTGTGAGAGCTGTGATTGGCCACTGCTTGTCACATGGTACAAGGCTCTTGTGAATAGCCTTGTACCATGTGACCTCTGATCATTCACAGTTTTCACAAGTAGTAAGCAATGATGTCAGGAAGTGACATCTTGCTTACTACTATTCATGTGTTCACTGATTGGTCAATCAGTGATCACATGATCGGGACTTCACACAGAGGTCCTGTACAGCGATTGGGACCAGGGAGCGTGCACAGGCAGTGAATGTGTAGGCCGTTTATAAATGGCCACCCGTTCCTGCACTGCTCCTGTCTGGCCGTTTATGTACATGACCAGACAGGAGCCATTCTTTCGCCCAGATTTACATTTTAAAGTGTAGCACAACTTTTGTAAAGAAAAAAAAAATCCACTCTGGATAATAAATATATATTACAGGGATTTTGAGCAAACTTTGTAGCAGATTCCTACCTTTTTGTTGCCCTGAAGAACTGTTTGTTTCACTATGTCCTTTGCAGACTGATTCTGAATGGGGGGATCTGGTTCATTATAATCACCTGGTGTACTCCCAGTGTTCTAAGGAGAAAAGCTGCAGGGTCTACATCCCTTTAAAAGGGGAATATCTCACCCAAATTGTAATATCAATTGCAGGCGAGGACTAAAATTTGACGTTTAGTGCAGATGTCTTGCTAAAATCTGACTTGCATCTCAGTGCAGACTTCTGGGAAAATCAGTGAGCCAATCACACAAGCAGAAATTGACATTTCTGGAGGCGTTCTGTACACCAAAAGTTTACAGAATGCCTCCAGATTGTCATATTACACTGAAATTTACAGAAAATTACAGCGAATTCAGATTTAAAAAAGAGAATTTAAAAAAAAAAATAATATTAAAGTACAGCATTGCTTGTGTAGAAATGATATATGCTATATTATTTGTTATTAGTTTATTTGTTTTTTATTAGTTATTGTATGTTTCTTTCTATAAGTTATCCCAAGCTTGGGAAATTAGCTTTTTTTTTTTTTTTCCAACAAAGCAGCTAATGTATGCCTGGTAAACATTTGAAAAGAATTCTAAAGCCCCACTGCTGTCTGGAAATGGTATGTAAAATAAATAATTTCATTTTTTTCAGTTCTTAACTTTATATAATCGGTTTAAATGTTACATTTAGTAACCACTTTCCTGCAGCCTTATAGCAGATATACTGCTACAGGGCGGCAGAGGTGCACAAAATCATGTACATATATGTGATTTTGCATTTCCGGGTAGGGGGATGCGCACGAGCCGAGCGCGCGCCCTACCCGTGCCACTATTTTGTGGCCTCGGCTGTCAATCACTGGGTCCCGGCTGGTGATTACTCGCTGGCAACCGATGATCAAGGAGCATTACTGACGGAGGGAGAGACCTGTATGTAAAAAATACGAGCGCGCGCCCTACCCGTGCCTCTATTTGTGGCCTCGGCTGTCAATCACTGGGTCCCGGCTGGTGATTACTCGCTGGCAACCAGTGATCAAGGAGCATTACTGACGGAGGGAGAGACCTGTATGTAAAAAATACGAGCGTGCGCCCTACCCGTGCCACTATTTGTGGCCTCGGCTGTCAATCACTGGGTCCCGGCTGGTGATTACTCGCTGGCAACCGGTGATCAAGGAGCATTACTGACGGAGGGAGAGACCTGTATGTAAAAAATACGGTTCTCTCCCCTGTCAGCTCCTGCACACTGCTTTGTATGACTCTGCATAGCACAGCCATACAAAGCAGCCACACACACAGCCCACAGTAAAACAGCACACAGTTAACCTTTTGATTGCCCCACATGTTGACCCCTTCTTGCCCAGTGCCATTAGTACAGTGTCAGTGCTATTTATTAGCACTGATCACTATACTGGTGTCACTGGGGATGTCAGTGACACCAAGTCAGTTCCCCCCCAGTGTCAGAATGCCCGCCGCAGTCCCGGTATAAGTTGCTGAACGCCGCCATTACTAGTAAAAAAAAAAAACACCAGTATATATACTGCCATTTGCAAACGCTATAGATTTCACGTAAACCAATTAATTTACATGTATTGGAATTTTGTTTTAGCAAAGACATGGAGCAGAACACATTTTGACCTAAATTTATGCAGACATTTGATTTTTTTTATTTTTTTCTTGGATATGTTTAATGGCAAAAAGTCAAAAGTATTTATTTTTTCTCAATATTGTCAGAATTTTTTATTATAGCGCAAAAAATAAAAAACGCACAGACGATCAAATACCGCCAAAAGAAAGCTCAATTCGTGGAAAAAAAGGACGCAGATTTCATTTGGGTGCAGCATTGCATGACCGCGCAATTGTCAGTTAAAGTAAACAGAGCGGTAATGCAAAAAATAGCCTGGTCAGTAAGGGGGGGGGGGGGCAATCCTCAGGAAGGCAAGTGGTTAATGCAAATTTTTATAGAGGACGCAAAGTTGTATGGGTGGGAGTGGGGGGGGGGCTGCTCTGAAGTCAATGAGTGCCACCAATTGACAACTGTTTGCATGACCATGCCAGCACCTCGGCTCTTCAACATGTAATAAAGAGATGTCTGACCACTTCATAGGCTCCTTTGATTGGTGTATTTATTTAGTGGCTCCATTTAAAGTGAAGCTACTTTCGGCAAACAGGAGCAAATCACTTAACCTGTGAGCTCTCAGCCTCTTTCCCCTGTATTCCCAACCTCCGCCTGTCTGCTCTCCATCACTGCTTTCCGCTCAAGAGGCGAAATGAAAAAAAAAAAAAAAAAAGCTGATATCGCTCTCAGCGCGACCCGAGACTTGGGAATGAGAACTCAAACGTCTAAGTGAGGGAATGAAGCTCAGACTTATTGAATGACATCTCTTTACATTGGCAACTTCAGCTAGCATTGCCTTTAATCCACTCTCATAAGTATTCCTTCTCGTAGTTGTGCGCGCATCTGAAGTGGCTCAGAGGAACAATGGAGTTCAACAAGCTCCTGTGCGAACCAAGGCTCTGCATTTCAATGTGAGAAGGAGAAAAAAAAATTGAAAAAAAGGAGGTGGTCTGAGCTGGGTTTCTTTTAGAATGGGGCTTGACGGCACGGTCTTCATAGCCCAAAGTGGCAACAGTCCAACCTGTGCTGATGGAGGGCTTTACTTCTTCCATCTGGCTTCCCAACCGTCTACCAAAGCCACTTAAAATAGTTAAGATAGGAAGCCGATGGAGGTGTACAATCTGTAGCTTTAGCGTGGTTGTGCTCGCATCTGAAGTGGCTCGGAGGAACAGTGGAGTTCAACAAGCTCCTGTGCGAACCAAGGCTCTCCATTTCAATGTGCGAAGGAGAAAAAAATTTGAAAAAAAGGAGGTGGTCTGAGCTGGGTTTCTTTTAGAATGGGGCTTGATGGCACGGTCTTCATAGACCAAAGTGGCAGCAGTCCGACCTGTGCTGATGGAGGACTCTACTTCTTCCATCGAGCTTCACAACCGCCTACCAAAGCTACTTAAAATAGGAAGCCGATGGAGGTGTGCAATCTGTAGTGTTAGCATAGTTGTGCGCACATTTGAAGTGGCTCGAAGGAACAATGGACTTCAACAAGCTCCTGTGCAAACCAAGGCTCTGCATTTCAATGTGTGAAGGAGAAAAACATTTGAAAAAAAAAAGAGGTGGTCTGAGCTGGGTTTCCTTTAGAATGAGGCTTGATGGCACGGTCTTCATAGCCCAAAGTGAAAGCAGTCCGACCTGTGCTGATGGAGGACTCTACTTCTTCCATCTGGCTTCTCAACCGCCTACCAAAGCCACTTAAAATAGTCAAGATAGGAAGCCGATGGAGGTGTACAATCTGTAGCATTAGCATAGTTGTGCTCGCATCTGAAGTGGCTCGGAGGAACAATGGAGGTCAACAAGCTCCTGTGCGAACCAAGGCTCTGCATTTCAATGTGCGAAGGAGAAAAAAATTTGAAAAAAAGGAGGTGGTCTGAGCTGGGTTTCTTTTAGAATGGGGCTTGATGGCACGGTCTTCATAGACCAAAATGGCAACAGTCCAACCTGTGCTGATGGAGGGCTTTACTTCTTCCATCTGGCTTCCCAACCGTCTACCAAAGCCACTTAAAATAGTTAAGATAGGAAGCCATGGAGGTGTACAATCTGTAGCATTAGCGTGGTTGTGCTCGCATCTGAAGTGGCTCGGAGGAACAATGGAGGTCAACAAGCTCCTGTGCGAACCAAGGCTCTGCATTTCAATGTGCAAAGGAGAAACAAATTTGAAAAAAAAAAGGAGGTGGTCTGAGCTGGGTTTCTTTTAGAATGGGGCTTAATGGCACGGTCTTCATAGCCCAAAGTGAAAACAGTCCGACCTGTGCTGATGGAGGACTCTACTTCTTCCATCGGGCTTCCCAACCACCTACCAAAGCTACTTAAAATAGTTAAGATAGGAAGCCGATGGAGGTGTACAATCTGTAGCGTTAGTGCAGTTGTGCGTGCATTTGAAGTGGCTCGGAGGAACAATGGAGTTCAACAAGCTCCTGTGCGAACCACTATGGTGAAACTGTACTGCTAGGATGACAGCATGTAAAAAAAAACCAAAAAAAAAATCCATAAATATTAATATAAAAAAAATAAAATACAAATGTAAAAAAAAAATTAGAAAAATTATAATTTTTGGTTATAAACTAATTTGGGTTTTATTTTTACTAAAAAGATAGCTGAATACTTTTTGGCCAAGATTTATGAAGAAAGATTATTTATTTGCAAAATGTTATAATAAAAACACTTTTTATCAAAATTTTTGGACTTTTTCATTTATATAGCAAAAAAATAAAAATCACAGTGGTGAATAAATACCACCAAAATAAACTTTTATCTGTCTAAAAAAAACGCTAAAAAATTCATATGGGTACTGTGTTGCATGACCGCGCAATTGTCATTCAAAGTGATAGTGCTGAAAACTAAAAATTGGCCGGGACAGGAAGGGGGTGAAAGTGTCTGGACTTGAAGTGGTTAAAAAACGTTTAATATAATTTTAAAGCGGAACTTCACTTTCTCAGTCAGCAATAACTATTTTTAGTCCTTAGACTGCTAGCATCAGTAAATAGATAGTAAAGTATATTTACTTTTCTGTTTTGTTTTTGCACATAAATGAATCGCACATATCTAGCAGCTGATTTAATCTCTCACTTACTGGGTATGGAACTTCTTTTTAATCCTCGCCTATGTTCCAGTTTAAAGTGTAACTTCGCTCTCTTAATCAACACTGACTATTTTTAATCCTTATGCTGCTTGCCTTAGTAAATAGATAGGAAAGTATTTGATATTTACTTGTTTTAAACATTTTTTTTTACATTTCTTCAGTTACTTCCTGGTTTCTGGCCTAGGCCAAAATGATGTCATACTTCCCAGGAGTCTTCAGGAGTGGAGGAGGGATTTTCTCAGTTAAACACACCCTTCTGCATGCCCGAGGTCTGATGGATTCCAGGAAGTCAGTGCTACATGAATCATGATTCCTAGGCCAAAATGAAGTTATACATCCCAGGAGTCTTCAGGAAGGAAGGAGGGAATTTCTCAGCTAAACACACCCTTCTGCATGCCTGAGGTCTGATGGATTCCAGGAAGTAAATGCTTCATGAATCATGATTCCTAGGCTAAAATGATGTTATACATCCCAGGAGTCTTCAGGAAGGATACAGGGATTTTCTCAGCTAAACACACCCTTCTGCATGCCTGAGGTCTGATGGATTCCAGGAAGTAAATGCTTCATGAATCATGATTCCTAGGCCAAAATGAAGTTATACATCCCGGGAGTCTTCAGGAAGGAAGGAGGGAATTTCTCAGCTAAACACACCCTTCTGCATGCCTGAGGTCTGATGGATTCCAGGAAGTAAATGCTTCATGAATCATGATTCCTAGGCCAAAATGATGTTATACATCCCAGGAGTCTTCAGGAGGGAGGAGGGATTTTCTCAGCTAAACACACCCTTCTGCATGCCCGATGGTCTGATGGATTCCAGGAAGTCAATGCTACATGAATCATGATTCCTAGGCCAAAATGATGTTATACATCCCAGGAGTCTTCAGGAGGGAGGAGGGATTTTCTCAGCTAAACACACCCTTCTGCATGCCCGAGGTCTGATGGATTCCAGGAAGTAAATGCTACATGAATCATGATTCCTAGGCCAAAATGAAGTGTTATACATCCCAGGAGTCTTCAGGAGGGAGGAGGGAATTTTCTCAGCTAAACACACCCTTCTGCATGCCCGAGGTCTGATGGATTCCAGGAAGTAAATGCTACATGAATCATAATCCCTAGGCCAAAATGATGTTATACATCCCAGGAGTCTTCAGGAGGGGAGGAGAGACTTTCTCAGCTAAGCACAGCCTCCTGTCTGCATGCCTGAGCTAAGGGTAGATGGATTCCAGGAAATAAATGCCACATGAATCATCTGCCCTTACTCAAGATGGCCATGGCCAGAATACTAGGGGGGGGGGGGTTCTAAGTGATTTCTCAGCAAAATAAAGCATGGATGGATGGGGGAGTTTGCTTTGATTATTAAAAATAAATGAAATTGCGCTTTTGGTTTGCGGTGCTTAGATGCAGTGTAGTTCCGCTTTAATTTCTAAAAACTTCTCACTGGTGACATTTGATTGCAAGCTCCTCGGGGTTGCAAATGATTAAAAGTACGAATGACATTGAATGTTTCTGATTCCCATATATATAAATACGATTACAAAAGCCAGCGCTGAAAAGTAGGGGAGTTAAAACATGTCTCACATTGGGCATCCATCCCCTTCAACATATTCCAAACACACCGCGGGCAATGGTATATTTTCCTAAACACACATTTTTATTTTTACAATGATTAAGTGACGGCATCTTAAAATACACAAAGTGGTTATAGAACACTACCCCCGGCTTAAAAGTCCATTTACTGCTGCAACAAACCCATAATCTTCATGTTACCACTCGGTGTCAGTGTAAGCATCAATTGACACAGGAAGAGGGCAATGCTATTATCAGCAGCTACTGCAATCTGCAAGTAATAAAGCCGCGTTTATAGGGAAATATGGGGAACGGTTAGGCAGGCTTTGACGGCGGCTCTCTCTTACTTTGCCGTGCAGCTGCTGCTGAGAGCCATTTACAAACTCTTCAGCTATCTGCGGCGGGCCTGGCCTAGGTTCAAGTCACGGGAATGAGTTATGAAAAAAAAGAGGGGCCGGCGAGCGACGTCACCGCATGGTGCTGAGATATTACATTTGTGGAAACGGATGATGGAATATTTAAAAGGACCGTTGAGTTCATATATATATATATATACACACTTCTGTCTTTTTTCAGCCAGACTATGTAACTATATATATATATATATATATATATATATATGGTTACATAGTTAGTCTGGCTGTAAAAAGACAAAAGTCCATCCAGTTCAACCGTAGGAAAAAAAAAAAAGTTCATATATATACTGTGTGTGTGTATATATATATATATATATATATATATACAGTATACTTTTGTCTTTTTTTCAGCCAGACTAGGTTTATAACTATATATATATAGTTACTTAGTCTGGCTGAAAAAAGACCAAAGTCCATCCAGTTCAACCGTAGGAAAAAAAAAAAAGTTATAATCCTATACCCACAGTTGATCCAGAGGAAGGCAAAAGAAAAAAAACCCGGCAAAGCATGATCCAATTTGCTCCTGCAGGGGAAAAAATTCCTTTCCTGATCCCCCGAGAGGCAATCGGATATTCCCTGGATCAACTTTACCTATAAATGTTATATCCAGTTATATTCTGTGTATCCAGAAAGAATCCAGGACTTTTTTGAAGCAATCCACTGAGCTGGCCAGAACCAACTCTTGAGGGAGTCTATTCCACGTTTTCACAGCTCTCACTGTGAAGAAACCTTTCTGTGTTTGGAGATTAAATTTCTTTTCCTCTAGAGGTAAAGAGTGTCCCCTCTATATATGTAAATACACTGCTCACAAAAATTAAAGGAACACTGTTTAATCAGAGTCCAGCATCAAGTCAATGAAACTCCTGGGATATTGATCTGGTCAGGTAAGTAGCAGAGGGGGTTGTTCATCAGTTTCAGCTGCTTTGGTGTTAATCAAATTAACAACAGGTGCACTACATGGGCAACAATGAGATGACCCCCAAAAATAGGAATGGTTTTGCAGGTGGAGGTCACCGAGATTTTTTTCCCTACTCATCTTTTCTGACTGTTTTTTACTTGGCTAGGGTCAATGTCACTACTGGTAGCATGAGGCAATACCTGGACCCTACAGAGGTTGCACAGGTAGTCAAACTCACATCAATACGTGCCATTGACAGGTTTGCTGTGTCTCCCAGCACAGTCTCAAGAGCATGGAGGAGATTTCAGGAGACAGGCAGTTACTCTAGAAGAGCTGGACAGGGCCGTAGAAGGTCCTTAACCCATCAGCAGGACTGGTATCTGCTCCTTTGTGCAAGGAGGAACAGGAGGAGCACTGCCAGAGCCCTACAAAATGACCTCCAGCAGGCCACTGGTGTGAATGTCTCTGACCAAACAATCAGAAACAGACTTCATGAGGGTGGCCTAAGGCCCGACATCCTCTAGTGGGCCCTGTGCTCACTGCCTGGCACCATAGAGCTTGATTGGCAGTTGCTATTGAACACCAGAATTGGCAGGTCCACCACTGGCACCCTGTGCTTTTCACAGATGAGAGCAGGTTCACCCTGAGCACATGTGACAGACATGAAAGGGTCTGGAGAAGCTATGGAGAACATTATGCTGCCTGTAACATTGTTCAGTATGACCATTTTGGTGGTGGGTCAGTGATGGTCTGGGGAGGCATATCCATGGAGGGACCCACAGAATTCTACAGGCTGGACAATGGCACCCTGACTGCCATTAGGTATCGGGATGAAATCCTTGGACCCATTGTCATACCCTTTGCTAGTGCAGTGGGTCCTGGGCTCATTCTGGTGCACGACAATGCCAGGCCTCATGTGGCGAGAGTATGCAGGCAGTTCCTGGAGGATGAAGGAATTGATACCATTAAATGGTGCCCACGCTCGCTCGCCTGATCTAAATCCAATAGAACACCTCTGGGATATCATGTTTCTGTCCATCCGATGCTGCCAGGTTGCACCTCAGACTGTCCCAGAGCTCAGTGATGCCCTGTCCAAATCTGGGAGGAAACACCCCAGGACACCATCTCTCATCTATTGTCAGGCATGCATACAAACACGAGGGGGCCATATAAACTACTGAGGACCATTCTGAGTTGCTGCAATGAAATTTCAGCAAAATGGACTAGCCTGCTTCAAAATTTTATATATATACTATTTTTTTTAGGCACAACATGATTTTATACTAGGTGGACACATGCCAGCTAAAATCAGCCTCTCACTGGAAAAGACTTGCTTTGATGTAGAAGCAAGGGTAGGTAATAGAGGGTTTGTTAAAGTAGAACTAAAGGCAAAACCCTTTTTTGGGGGGGGGAGTGGATAGAGTAAGGGGGGGGGGGTTATGACTCTTTTTTGCTTCTTTTTTTTTGTCATCGGTGTCCCATTGGGGAGATATTTCCCTACTTTTCCTGTCCCATTACCAAACAGTAAGAGAAAATCCCCCCAAATTGATGGAACCCCTGGTTGTCACCGGAACTAGTGCCCCCATTGGAAGATTTTCCTCTCTCCTCTGCAACCTTTTTGTATCTATTGGGAGCCCAAATTAACCTTTGATCAAAACAGCTAAATACATTTCATCTACAACTGAGCAGGAAAGCCTGTCCCCTGTCAACACGCTGTCTGTGGGAACATGATGGTCTCCCTATAGACATCCAACATCCCCGTTGGACTGAGTTCACACTCCCTGCTGAATGGAAAGAGCTCTGACTCTGAATTAACAGCTGGACTTGTGCAGAGAGACCACTGCTTCCACACAGCGTAGAGGGTTCCCTCTCTTCATGCTGGAGTGGATGGGCTTTTCTATTCAGGCTGTGGCTGCTTTCTAAAGAA